TTCTCTATGGGCTGGGCAGCACTGGGAGGTGGATGCATCCTGCGGCCCCATCCCCATCCCTAGCCAGGCTCCTATTTTGACCTGGAGGATGTGGAAGAAGGGTTAAGCCATTCCCAACTCCCCCCCACAACAGCAGGTGAAGGAAACCCTGTCGCAGCGAGTCCCCAGGGTGTCTTCTGCAGCAGCTTGCAGGCATCTGCAGCAGAGAGGGGTCTAGTCCCCCGGCCCCTTCCCAGGCTTGGCGCCTCGCCATGGCTGCTCTCAGCAGGCTGTCTCGCACTGAAAAGCCCTTTTCTTCACATGCAGAGGCAGGGGGGAGGATGCTGGGCCCTGGGCACTGCGCCAGCTCATCTGAATGGCTCGCTGCACAGCGGCGTTGCTGCGATGGAAGGTGTCTCCCGGCCTGTGCAGCCCAGCTCCTACTTCTGGTCCCCGCACGGCCTCCGCGGTCTGCCAAGGGGCAACGCTTCCTGCAGCCGCGGCCCTCGGGAAGGCCAAGGGAAGGGGAGCGGGCTCTGGAGCTGGCACGGAGGCTATGAACGCTTGTGTGCAGCACGGATGATGCCTCGAGCAGCTTTGCATCATTTTCAGCAACTGCGGCTCTGCAGGCACAGGCTGAAGCTGCTGGCGGAGCTGCCATGGAGCCCTGCCGTGCCTGCCCAGCCCCATCCTCCACCCCAGCCCCTTGCCCAAGGCCATATGCACCCACGCTTGGCATGGTGCATGCATGTATTTGTGTGTGTGTGTGTGTGTGTGTGTGTGTGTGTGTGTGTGTGTGTGTGTGTGTGTGTGGGGTGGGGGAGGGCATTTCTGTTGCTGCAAGCTCTTCAGCTCCCTGGAGACCTCCTCTGTTGTCAGCTGAGAGCCCTGTCTTTCCTGGCCTCGTCTCCAGCTTGCAGGATGCTGTTGTATATTGTCAGCTGCCACCTCCTACGCACCCAGACACGGCTGCATTTCATGCCTCTGCAGGGCTTACATTGTGCAGCGCTGAGACTCTTCGCTCCCCACTGCCCCTGTAGGGAAGGAGCTAGGACGTGGTTTTAGGGAGGAGCTGTGCCTGTTCACGTAGCAGGGGTGGAGGGAGGGCAGGGCCTGGCTGGGTGCGGTGGAGAGGATGCTTTCAGCATTGCTCCATGTCAGGGGGTTTCAAGCCTCCCCCAGAGGCGCTGGGTGCTGGAGCCCAGGCTGGGGGTGGGAACTGGGCTGTGCATTGCAGGGTCTCCCCTGGCTGCAGTGTCTTGCCCCTGTGCTCAGGGTCAGACCCGCGCTGCACTAGGGGAGGAAGGGATTTCCCCCCTTGATCAGACCAGGACGGGGGGGGGAGGTTGCCTCTGCCTGGGGTCTCTCGAGCATCCTTTGCAGCAGCAGGCCGTTGGTGGTTGTGGCCCCCCTGCTTTCCCTGTGGCAGGGCCAGGGGCGATGCCTGGGGCTGTCAGGGTGACGGTGTCGTGCTGCTTAGAGGTCAGACAGCGGGTTTGTCCGGGCTGGTTTGCACAGGGCTGATTCTGCCCCAGGCAGCGCTTGGACTAGATGTGACCCTCACAGCTCCTTTCCAGCCCCAATTTTTGGTGGTGCTGTGATTGCAAGCTGGAGATCCAGGGCCCCGGCCGGCTTGGACAGCCCAGGATGATACCCCCCTCGCCCCCATTTCCTCGTTCACTAGCATTACTCCCGTTAGCAGGGCTGAAGCGGCTGCAGTGGGTTTTGCCTGCCCTCCCCTGTTTGCTGGGCCAGGTTCCCAGTGCCTCCCTGCGGGGTTTGTCTCCATCCGCTGCATTGCTGCTGCTCCCCTAGGACCAGGCCCTGGAGGCCAAGCTGACCAGGGACCCCAAAGCACTGGAGGGATTAGCTGGCTGTGCCGTCCCGCGGTGCTGCGCACCTTGCGACTCCAGACTGCACTTGAGGTCTGGAGCTGTCTCCTGCTACAGGTCCTGTGGGCCAGGGGGGTTAATCTCGGCCTCCCTGGCTGGACACAGCTAAGCAGCATCTCTGCACGCAGGAGCCCTGTGTGATGGAGCTGCTCCGAGGGCCCAGACCTGCCCTGCGTCCTAGGTCCTGGGTTTGCTCCATCCTTGGAGCTCGTTCAGACCCACGGAGCAGAAAGATGCTGTAGAAATGCAGCAGCGAGCACCGGCTGAGCTCTCAGCTCGCCTCCTTTTGCAGCAGACCGTATCCGTGTCACAGCCCCCGTTCTCCCCCGGTGCAGATTTGCTTCTGGTCATTGATGGCATGCATCTGGGGCGTGGTGGGAGAGGAGCGTGGCTGTGAGTCAGAGCCTGTGTCTGTCTCTTGGCTCGTGCTGCGTTCCTGCCAAGGGGTGAGTCACGGAGCCAGAGGCAGCCGAGCTGGAAAAGGCTGGTCAGGCCCCGCGCCCGGCTTGCATCCTGCTCATCTCCGATGGGTGCTGCTGAGGCCCTCTCCCAATGGCACGTGGGCCCATGGGATGATCTGTGTCAGCGCCTTGTGGCTGGGCTCCTGGGACGTGGGGCCTGTGCGAGCAGCCTAGCAGGCACGTGAGGCCGTGTGTGCACGGTACGCCCCAGCCCACGGGCTCCAGACCTGTGGGATCCGCTGGCAGGGCTCATGTTTCAGCTGGCGCCGGCTCCCGGGACCCGGTGTCCTGGCTTGGGGATGTTAGGGGTGGGCTGCTGGGACCGCAGGGTCACCCCGTCACATCCCCTGCGCGGAGGCAGCCGTGCCGGTCCTCAGCCCTCTCGCGTGGATGCTTGTGCCACCTCTGTGCTGCTCGGACCCCGTCCTCATCCAGCCGCGGCTTGGAGCCCTCCAGCAAAGCAGATCCTGCTGCTGGGGCTCTGCCAGGCTGCCTCGTTGCCTGCTCAAGTCTGTCTGCCTGTCTGTCTGCACCTCTCCAGGGAAGCAGTCCCACCTCCTTGCTCCTCTGACTCCTTTTCTGCAATGTGTCAGGTGTGGTTTGTTTTTTAAAGCCTCCCCCAGAGGCGCTGGGTGCAGCCCAGGCTGGGGATGGGGAGTGGGCTGTGCTGGCACCAACCCCGCAGGGCCCTGGCTCAGGCTCAAACCGATGCTGCACTGGGGGCAGGAAGGGATTTATCCCTTGCTCAGATTGGCACAGACTGGGGGGTTTGCCTTCCTCTGCAGCGGGGGCACGGTCCTGCCTGGGGTCTCTGGAGCATCTATGAGCCCCCTTTGCAGCAGCAGGACATTAGCAGCCGCGGCCCCCTGCTTTCCTTGGGGCAGGGGTGATGCCTGGGGCTGTCAGGGCTGTTGGTGTCCTGGTGCTCAGAGGTTGGACACGGGGTTTGTCCGGGCTGGTTTGCACAGGGCTGACCCTGCCTCAGGCTGGGTTGGGCTAGCTGTGACCTCTGGAGCTCCCTGCCAGCCCCAGGGGAGACGGTCCAGCCCGGGGATGGTGCAGGGCAGAGGGGAGGCTGGGCTGCGCGGTGCACGGAGGGCACGTGTCTGAGGGCAGCTGCTGGCAGGGAGCTGGGGGGAGAAAGCACCCCAGCCATGCTGTCCCCAGGGACGTTTGCTGGGGATGGGGATGGGGATGCCTTGGCTCAGGTGAGCCCCTGGGGGCTGTGACAATTTGCTGCTGGGTGCCGTGCTCCGAGCCCAGGCCGTTTGGGGCGCGTGGAGTAGGATGGCGGGTCCGTGCAGCAGCAGCAGGATGAGAGGAAGCAGCGAGGGTTTGGGCAGGTGACAGGTGCTATATGGCATGCCTGTGTCGGGGGCACCAAATGCCTGTGAAATGCAGATGGCTGCAGCCTAGAAAGCCGGGAGCCCGGGCCGTGCAGCCCAGCGGGGTCCCTGGGTTGGCGGAGGCTGCGAGAGGCTGACTTTGGCTCTGCTAGCAGAGTTTTCTGGCTTCAGGGCCCAGCCCAGCCCCCTTCCCTTCCCTGGGGTCTATGGGGCGGGCGCGATCTCACCCAGCTGTCCTGCGGTGAAGCCCGGCAAGTTGTTATGATGCTTGTTCAGGCTGGAACAGGCTCAGGAGCTGGGCCTGGCATCATCAGGAGCTTGATGATGCAGCCAGTTTCTATCCACCTTGCAATTCATTATCCAACCCGGACTTCCTCAACTTGCCTGTGAAAACGCTGTGAGAGGCTGCATGTCATCTTGAATTTACTGAATTCTCCAGATTTCCCTCCAGTCTCTACCCTGTATTTATAGCTGTCTCAGTCTAAATATGCTAATACATATTCTCTGGTTGGTTTTGTTTCACTGAAACACTGGGGATAGGACAGACCCCGAGGTGTGGTGGACTTGGAAGGTGTCAATTAGTTGGGATTTATTGGACAGTAAAAGGGAGGGTTTCTTCTCTACTTCCCTCTCCCTGTTGTGCGATGCTGTTCTGCGCTGCCCTGCTTCTTCTGCACTGTATTTCTCCTGTTTTTTTGACAGTTAAAGAATCTTTGTAAAAATGCATCAATCCTAGCAAAAAGCATCTGATATGCTCGGTTACACCCATCACTGCTCGTGCTGCTGATGGTTTAAGATGCAGCTGTGATGCGGTATATTTGGATTACTGAAGGCACGGTCTTTCCTTGCATGTAGTGGTACAGGCCTCGTGCTCTGCTGACTGTGATCTCAATGCTGCTTTAGTTGCTTTTTTCCTTTCCTTTACTGACCAGCTGGCTCACTCTACGGTCACTAGGAAACAGGTTTTGGGGCTTTCTTCTTGAAAATGACCACGGCTACACAGCACCGGCTGCTTGTGGTGGGTGCCAAAGGGGATGGGTGCAGCCCGGAGGGGAGGCTGAAGGACCTGGGTGTGTTGCACGATACCTGCAGGGTTTTTGGTTGTAGCCGTGTTGGTCTGAGGACATAGGCAGGCAAGGTTATTTGGGTAGATGTGATATCTTTTATTAGACCAACTCGTTAAGGGACTGGACACATCCTTGGAAGAAAGGGACCTTGGTAGCTATGGAGCAGGGAGTGAGGGGCAGGGGCTCTGCACCTGAGCTTCCTGGACCTGCAGTGCTGGAGGCAACCCTGACCCGCTGTGTCTTGTGTCTTTGCAGGTGCGGGACCCCCCCTTGTGAGATGTGCTCCCCCCGTGCCGCCTGCATGCCCCGCACACTCCATGGGTAGTGCCGGCCTGGCCGCTGCCCCGCACCGCCATGGATAGCCCGCCCAAGCTGACCGGCGAGACGCTCATTGTCCATCACATCCCCCTGGTGCATTGCCAGGTCCCCGACCGGCAGTGCTGCAGTGGGGGCAAGCGGACCAACCCCTTCTGCCCGCCGGAGCTGGGCATCATGCGGGCCACGGCCTTGCCGGACCGCGACCTCTCTCAGGCCGACTCCCTGGTCTACAGTAGCCTGCTCCAGGCCGCGGAGGTGCCGGCCGAGGCCACCGAGAGCCAGGAGGGCAAAGCCAGGGACCTCGCCGCCCCGAAGCGGCACAACCCTTTCCTCCTGTGCGACGGCGATGACCGTGGCCTCTTTGGTGATGACAGAGGCCAGAAATCCTTCCACTTGCACAGCTCCCTGGTGAGCGGCAAGCCACCCTTCCACCTGCACGACACTGGGCCCATCGTGAAGCCGTGGCACGCGGCCAGCCGCGCCGGCGTGGTGGACGGGCAGGAGGACAGGCTGGCGGGCGACACCGCCCCGAAGCGGCACAACGCCAACCGGTGCCGCATGGCCTCCGAGCGCATGGAGCTGGACGAGTGCCCCTGCCTGCGTGGGGGCCCCGCCGGCTTCTCCTTTGATCTCGGCGATGCTGAGTGGGGCCCCGGCGGCATCGAGGAGCCGGCCAGGAACGCCGGCGCGCCGCGTAGCCAGAGCTGCAGCTGCTCCAGCACGGAGCTGCAGGCCTGCCGGTGCTACAGCACCTCGAGCCAGTCGGAGCTGGCGGACCAGCCGATGGGCTATGTCAGCGACTCGTCCTGCAACAGCTCGGACGGGGTGCTGGTCAACTTCAGCGCCCTGTATCACAAAATGAGCGGGCACTCACGCTCCAACCTCAACTCGGCCCCGCTGTCCTGCGACTCCTCCTTCTGCAGCCACTCGGACACGGGCGCCTTCTACCTGGACCTGCAGCCCTCGCCCACCGAATCCAAGATGTCCTGTGAGTCTCATGGCCCCGACAGCGGGGGGAAGCCGTGCGGCTGCCGCCACGCTGCCTCCCCAGTGCTGGATGCCAACTGCAACTCCTACCACCTACCCTGCGAGCCCTGCGCGGCTGACGGCTCCGACCTCACCTCCTGCTTCCAGAGCCAGGCCCGGCTCGTCGTGGCCACCCAGAACTACTACAAGCTGGTCACGTGCGACTTGTCTTCCCAGTCCTCGCCCAGCCCCGCCGGCTCATCCATCACCAGCTGCTCCGAGGACCACACCAAAGGCAGCCCGGCGCAGCCCACTGAGTACTACTTGTTCCGGAGGCCGGAGCTGAAGGCGGAGGAGGGAGGGAAGGGTGTGGCTGCAGGGGAGGTGGAGGGCAACGTGATTGAGGGCCAGGTCTATGTCAACGTGTCCCCCCCGAACCTCAACACCGGCCGGCAGCGCTCACGGAGCTACGACCGGAGCCTGGACCGGAGCCCCACGAGCCGGCTGGGCTCTCTGGAGCGCATGCTGAGCTGCCCAGTTAAGCTGAGTGAGAGCCCCGCACTGGCTTTGCAGAGCTCCCCGCCGAAGCGCGTTACCTCCTTTGCCGAGCTGGCCAAGGGCCGAAAGAAGAACGGGGCTTCCCCGCCGCTTCGCACCAGCGGTGACTCCTCACTGGAGTTCTCCCCCATCCCAGAGTCGCAGCGTGATGGCCCGGCCTTCCCCGAGGACAGAGCCCGGCGCAGCCAGAGTCTTCCACCCTTGCCCTTCATGCACGGGATGCACCGCAGCTGCGAGGGCTATCGCCTGGACCATGCCTTTGAGGACGGCCTGGTGGCCGGTGCCGGCCAGGATGCAAGCACCAGTGACATGCTGCCCGGTGGCCATGGGACAGGTGAGTGAGTCTCTAGCGCCAGCTTCTTGGGCAGCCCGGGGGACAATGGGGTGGATGGTAAACTTTGTCTAGCCAGGCCAGGCCAGCTGCATTGCTTCTCCCTCCCCAGCGGAGCCCACTCCCTGCTGGGCTTTTGGCACCAGGATGCTGGCCCTGTGCTGGGCAGACATGGGATGGGGCCCGTGGCCTGGGTATCCCGTGTGTCACGGTGCAGCAAGGAGACGTGATAGTCCCTGCACCAGGATGCACTGACTCCTGCAGACTGCAGCCTAGCTCATGCAGCCCTGTGCACTGCAGTCGACTGACCCAGCCCCTCTGCAGGGCTCCCGTGAGCTCCCCTCCATCCCTAGTGCTACGTCTCCCTGGCAGGACTGGCTGCAGGGCCCCGCTCCCTAGAAGAGGATGTCTTCCCATTGCTCCTGTACCAACCTGTGTCCTAGGCACGGATCCGGTGGCTGGGGCTGGATGGAGCCCAGCCCCTGCCCCAAGCATGTCCCTTGCACTGCCAGCCTGGCCTTGTTGCCCCATCTGCCCGGGGGAAGGTGTCCAGCAGCAGGACAGACAGGCCCAAGCATCCACATCCAGCTCCATCCATAGAAGTAGGGTCGGAAGGGACCTTGTAGATCATCAGGTCCGACCTCCTCCCTCGCTGTCGCCCCACTTGCTCTGCCTGGTTTCCTCTTTCCATCTCTCCCTCTCTTGCATCATCTCTCCCTCTTTTGCATGGGATCAGGGGTAGGTTAACCCCTTCCACACTAGTACGAGCCGGGTCGTGGGCTGGCCGTGCCTCTGATGCTCGGGCCCCTGGCCCTCTCCCGCAGGCGGTGGTGCGGACAGCAAGCCTGTGGTGCGCTACAGCAAGGACCAGCGCCCCACTACACTGCCCATCCAGCCCTTCGTGTTCCAGCACCACTTCAGCAAGCCACCCAAGGCCCGTGCCCTGCACAGCCACTTCGCCTCCAGCCTGTCCCAGCTGTACAGCTACGCCGGCAGCCGGCCCGCCAGCCAGCACGCCTCCTCCGCCTCGCAGTCCTCTGCCTCGGCCACCTCGGCAGAGCCGCCTGTGTCTGTGCCCGCCAGGGCTCCCAGCCACACCGTGCCACTGAGCCACCGCTCGGCTGATGGGGCCACGGGCCGCGGCGACAGGAAGTCCGCCCCAGAGACCACGCGCCCATCACCGCTGGGCAGCTACTCCCCTGTGCAAAGCCACGTGCCTTTCTTCCAGAGCGCTGACTCTTCCTCTGGCTCGCCCGGCGCTGAGACCCACCCGCCCCGCAGCCGGTCCTGCCCGCTGTCCGCCAGCCTGCTGCCCACCCGGGCTTCCCCAGCAGCCGTGGCCCCGCCGCCCTGCCTGGCCGCACCACCTCATGAGAGCCCCAAGCCGGTGCCCAAGGCAGAAGGGCCGCCGGAGCGCGGCACACCAGTGTCTGAGTACCACCTCCATGGTGGGCCTGTGTTGGCTGGGGGCGCGCCTGGGGCCTCCACAGAGCCGTCCTGGAGGAATGACATCGAGGCCGGTGGCTCGGGGTCTCTGGGCAGCGTTGCGGGGCGGCCTCTTAACGGTACGTGCTGTGCACCTGGCTTAGAGCCGCCACCGGGGGCCAGGCTGGCTGGTGGCAGTGCCCCCACAATGGTGTCGCCAGCTGCGTGGCTGAAGCGGGTCTTTGCCTCTGGCCATGCAGGTGCTGGAAGCAGACCCTGCCAGGGCTCTGGGAGCAAGAGTCACGCTCGAGGTCTGGCGGGTCTGGTGCTTTCCCTCTGCTGCAGCTCGGAGGTGGGAGACTGGGTGAGATGGGCTGGCCATAGGTCTGACCCAGTCCAGCTCCTGCGTTTGTATGCATGCTGTGTCTCCCCAGCCTGGGAGGCTTTTCAGGAAAGGCCCCTCGGGCCCCTGCCGCTGGCTGCAGCCTCTGGCAAATGCACTAACCCCTCGGAAATGCTGCTGGCCTGTTACTAACTTGCTGTCTCTCTCTCTGTCTTTGTCCTACCTCCTCCTGTCTCTCCCCTCTCTGTCCCCGGTGCCTGGTCCCTTTGCGCGGCACTAGCCAACCACCTGTCCCCTCAAGCGCTGAAGTGGCGGGAATACAGGCGGAGGAACCCCCTGGGCCTGGACCGTGTCTCGGAGCCTCGCCTGCCCCGGCGCATCCCCGGCTTGGAGTTCCCTGGCACCCTCAACCCCGGCCACGGGCACTGCCGGCTCAACGGTGCGCCCCTGTCACGGCCCTTTACCTGGCAGGCTGGACCGCTGCCTGGCTGGGGCACGCTGCCTGCCCCAGCGGAGGTGCTGGGGGTGTGATGAGTGTGCCAGTGCTCATGCTGGGTGGGGGGAGTCGGAGCAGGGGCTGAATGACACTGGATGCTCAGAGGCTATGTAAGCCCCCATGGCCCAGCTGAAATGGCTGTAAGGAAAGTGCCCAGCCCCTGCCAGAAGCCCATGGGAGCTGATTGCAGCAGCCGCACCGCCCATGCGACTCTTCAAGGCAACAGGTCCCTGTTGTGCCAGATGCAGGCTGGAGGTGGGAGGTTGTAGCCCCCGGGGCACCTGGCTGTACTGCAGGGCCTCACTGGGCTGCACAGTGCCCCCCTACCCTGTGCTGTTTAGCCTCCAACCCAGCTAGGGAGAAGCAGGTAGAGCAAGCACACCCAAGCCCCTCCAGTCCCCTCCGACGCATGCCCCGACCCTGGGGAATGCACCAGGTGAATGCACTGAGGTGCAGACTTGCGCCACATGCTCCCTTGGAGCCGAGAGCATGCATGCCAGCCAGGCTTCCCGGTGCTGGTGGTGCTGTGCTGCAGGCTGCTGCTTCTGTGGGTTTGCTGCTGTGCTTGGGACCCACGGCCCTGGCCTGCGTGGGGTCCCAAAGCCCTGGAGAGCTGCACCCGCGAGGCTGTCTCTGGTGTTGGCCTCTGCTGCAGCCCAGAAGACGCGTGGCCCCCCACAGCACGTCCTTGTGAGGCTACACTGGCCCTGAGGGAGGACGAGGGGTCAGGCTGCTGCAGGGGGGTTTCTGGGAGGTAGGTTAGACTAAGAACCCTGCCCAGGCTGTGCTGGCAGGTCTTTGACCGCCCTCCTGTCTCCGGCCCCGCAGGGCAGTCCATGAAGCAGCTGCAGCTGAACTACACCGACTTCTTCCCTGACTACTTCTCGCTGGCGGAGAAGCCCCCGGCTGAGTTCTGCCTGTCCCCCGATGGCAACACTGAGTCCATCTCCATCGATCTGCTGCAGAAGAAAGGTGGGAGCTGGCCTGGCTGGGACAGGGTGGGCTTTGGGGGGGTCCCTGTGTCTCACCCCTCTGCCCCCCCCTCCCAGCTTGCCATGGCATTAGACTGCATATGGGATCAAAACCCCCTGTGCAGCCCACTATGCCCAGCATAGTCCAGTCCATGGCATGGTCTCGTGGTGCAGGGAGGGCTGATGGGGGTGGGATGGGAGCAGGGCGCTGGCTCTGCGCACAGGGCAGAGCATTAGCTGGTCCCCTTGGGATGCACCGATACCGGCTTCCCCGTGCATCTGGGTTGGGACCAGCCGGGAGCACCAGTCCTGTCCTGGGCAGCCTGGCTTGGTCCCCGCGCCCGGCTTGCCCTGACCGGGGCTGTCCTGCAGGTCTGGTGAAGGCCATCAACACAGCCGTTGACCTGATCGTGGCCCATTTCGGAACCAGCAGGGACCCGGGGGTCAAGGTAAGGCTGTGGGGATGAGCCCAGCCTCGCTCCAGTGTGAGGGGCACCATCCTCAGCCCTTGCCAAACTCCCTTTGAAATCCTCGTCCTGTGCCTGGGACGTCCGACCCCTGCCTGAGACAGGATCAGTCCTGGACAAACCCCATCTCCGACCTCTGAGCGTTACCCTGACAGCCCCAGGCATCACTCCTGAGCCTGCCCCAGCGAAATCGGGGGGGAGGCCACGGCCACCAAAGTCCTCTAGATGCTCCAGAGACCCCAGGTGGAGGCTGTGTCCCCACTGCAGAGGAAGGAAAACCCTGCCAGTCCAGACCAATGTGATCGGGGGGAAATCCCTTCCTGCCCCCAGTGCAGTGCGGGGCTAAGCCTGAGAGCTGGGACAAGACCCTCCAGCCAGGACCCTGCGGGGTTGGTCCCAGCAGGAGCATTGGCACAGCCCAGTCCCATCCCCAGCCTGGGCTGCAGCCAATACCCAATGCCTCTGGGAGAGGCTCAACCCCCCCTGACTCAAATAGTAGACCCCCATGCCATGTGTCTGCAGTGCTGGCAGGCCATGTGGTGGGGCGGGACATGGGACCTCCTGGGTACAAGCCAGGGGGTGTGGCAGTGATGTGCAAGCCTCATCGGGGATCCCCACTTCGTGTGCTGGGAAATGCAATCCCCTTTTGCAGGGGGGAAGTCTCGAAAGGAGCACGGCTCCCCCCTCGCCCCGTCCAGGCCCTGCATTTGGTACTTCCCGCATGGGCAGTGCTGTCCCATTATTACAAATATGCCCGTGGGCGGCCAGCCAGTGACGAATGGAGCAAGTGTGTGCTACTGCAGCTAATGGCTGTGGGGCTGCCGGGGGGGTTCACTATCCCTGTCGCTTTGTGGGGCTGCCCCTGCTGGGTTCCTTCAAGGGTTAGACCCCATCCTGGGGTGACTGCAGCATCCCCACCTCTGTCACTGCTGGGTGCCGAGCCTCGTGCATTCAGCCTCCTAGCAGGATTTGCTTGCCCTGTAATCACTCGTGCTTGGAGCTGATGGGCCAGAGGCCCCAGAGACCCTGGCTCCTGGTCTGGTCCTTAACCCCCGTGCTCCCCCTCCTCGGTGCTCAGACATGAGACAGCAGGGGGTCCAGAAGAAGCAAGGGGATCCTCCCCTGATACGGGGAGCCAGACAGATGAGGGGGCTGCGAGGCAGACAGATGGGCAGCCGGCCTGGACCCCCGACTGTGCCCGGGGCAGCTGTTCTGTGGTGCAGGGACGGACAGATCCGTGCAGCTCCCAGCCCTGTGCTTGTAGCACAAGGGGACCGACCTGCCATGGGCTCTTCTTGGCCCCAGCCCCGCAGTCGGGTGCATCCCTGCCAGTGGCAGCTGCTGGGGGCCGAAGACAGCCTGGGCAAGCGGGAGGGGTCGGCAGTCCCGGGGGTTTGCTGCCCCCTGACACAGCGGGGAAGTCACCATCCAGCTGCGGCTGTGTTGGGGGAAGGTAGATGCCCCCAGGCCCAGGGTCTGGGGGCTATGGGGGCTCTTCCTCCAGCATCCCCTGCTCCCCTCTCCCACCTACCCCCATGCCTGTATTCAGGTGGCTCTCAGTGCTTGGGACCACAGGTGGGGAAGGAGAGACAGGGGCCTGGGAGGGGTCAGAGCTTGCTTGTGCTCACCCTCGCTTGCTTTTGCTGCCAGGCCAAGTTGGGGAACAGCTCGGTGAGCCCCAATGTGGGGCACCTGATCCTGAAGTACCTGTGCCCGGCCATCCGGGACGTGCTGAGCGACGGGCTCAAGGCCTACGTCCTGGACATGATCGTGGGTCAGCGGAGGAACATCCCTTGGAGTGTGGTGGAGGCCTCTACCCAGCTAGGTACCGCTGGGGCAGGGGGGTGCCGATGCTGCAGGGCCGGGAGCCCTCAGATCTGTACCACCCTGGGGCCAGTCGCCCTCCTGCCAGGGTGCCGAGTGCTCCATGCATGGTGGGGCCCAGAGACGCGCCACTCTCCCAGGTCCGTTATGCTCATCCCTGCCAAGGCTCCCTGCAGCTGGGCTGGGGAGGGACTGGCTCACGGTCACGGCAAACCCTAGGTGGTGGCAGTGTCTCGGGTCCTGGCGCCCAGCCCCTCCCTGAGTGCCGGGGTTGGCGTGAGCAGGGCCGGGCGCATCCCCCACTGGGCTGGGGCTGCTGGGGGTCCTGTCCCCGGCCCCACGCAAACCCCTGGCCCAGACAGCTCCCCTCTCTGCAGGCCCCTCCACCAAGCTCCTGCATAGCCTGTGCAGCAAGGTCAGCCAGCACACCGAGCTCACCAGCCACTCCATGCGCTTCAACGCCTTCATCTTCGGACTCCTCAAGTAAGCGGGCTGCGGGCACCGGCTCCAGTCTGGGGCTGGGGGCTCCCTGCCCCTCTGCCATCTGCCTTGGCACCGTGCTTGGGATGGACGAGGGGGCTTCAGACACTGGGCAGGGAACGGGGGAGAGGGCTCTGGTCCCAGAGCCGATGCAGAGGGGATGAGGCCCAGGGCGGAAATGGGAGCATTAAAACCTCTCCGCCTTGCCAGGCTGGCTGGCCGGGGCTGTGTGTGCATCTGTGCACACGTGTGTGTGTGTGTGAATGTGTGCATCTGTGTGTGTCTGTGCATGAGTGCACATGGGTGTGTGCACGTATACGTGTGTGCACATGGCTGTGTGGGTGTGTGTGCATATGGGTATGCACGCACGTGCGCACATGGGTATTTGGATTTGTGTGCACATGTGTGCACGTGGGTGTGCGCATGTGTGTATCTGTGCATGCATGTACATGTGCGCATGTGTGCACTTGTATACTGTCATTGAGGCATGTGCTTTCATGTGGAACTTGCAAGGATTGCATCAAGGGTCTTGTGCTTCCTCCCCTGCAGCATCCGGTCCCTGGAGTTCTGGTTCAACCACCTGTATAACCACGAGGGTAAGTGGGCAGGGGCAGCCAGTGGACAACCTCCCCCTGCCCTGGTCTCCCTCCCTGCCAGGCTCCCAGGCTGGCCCAGCCCGGCCTGGCCCTCCTGAGCCTTGGCCAGACACGAGCGTCGGTGCTCAGCCAGGGTCCAGCAGAGGCCTTTGCAGAGGCCCCCAGATCCGCAGACTGCGTTTCCTCATTGATGGTCCAGCTGGCCAGCAGCAGAGCATCGCAGGAGACCCTGCCACCCCACAGCACCATGCAAGCCCCGTCTCCTGCAAGCCATCAGCCCCCCAAGCCCAGCCTTGGATTCCTGGCTCTCAAGTGAGAGCGGAAACACCGTTGCACCCCAAGAGCTGGGAAGCCAGTGGGGTGCAGCAGGGCTGGGCTGTGCCTCAAGAGCACCCTTCCACGCCAGACCTCCATGAAGGGGGCATGGTTCACCTCCCTTGGGCCAGGCTGCTGGGTCCTGCCTGCCGAGCTCCTGGTGCTGGGAGGATGCATGATGGCTCAGCATGGGGATAGATCCAGTGCATCCATGCACTGAATGGGTGTTGGGGAGACTGGTGGGGAGCTATCACACCACTCAGGCTGATGCCTTGTGCCCTTGGCACAGAGAGGTGGTTTTGGGATGCAAGGAGATGCACCGTGGCCCATCGGCTGTGTGTCTGGGCTCCCGTGTCCCAAGCCACGCTGGCTCCCAGGAATAGAGCGGAGAGCCTGATGGCTGTCTCCCCCACAGACATCATCCTGGCGCACTACCAGCCGACTGGCTTCCTGTGCCTTTCGCATGGCGTGTGCCAGCCGCTGTTTGAGGAGCTGCTGCTGCTGCTGCAGCCGCTGTCCCTGCTGCCCTTCAGCCTGGATCTGCTCTTCGAGCACCGCCTGCTGCAGATGGGCAAGGAGCAGCAGCAGCAGAAGGAGCTGCTGCGGGTCAAGCAGGACCTGGTACTGTCAGCCCACTCCACGCTGCAGCTCATGCGCTCCCGGGCTGGCGACGAACCTGACAGCTGGAGGGCTGCCCCTGCCCGGCTGCCCCTGGAGCCGGCAGGGGGCAGGCAACGGGCCACGGGCGTGGGGGCCCCTTGTGAGGAGCGGGAACCGGAGGAAGAGAGGAGGAAGACGGTGGAGAATGCGGGCGAGGGAAGGAAGGACAAGCAAGCTGGCTGGTGGTACCAGCTCATGCAGAGCTCCCAGGTCTACATTGAGGGCTCGGCCGAAGGCTCCAAGTTCCTCCGCTATGAGAGAAGGAGGAAGGGGCCGGGGTCCGCACCCCGCCGGGCCCCGCCACCCCGCGAGGGCGTAGTGGAGGGCGCGGAGGCCTGTCCCCTGGCTGAGGCCCCCCCGGAGGGGCGTCCAAATGCCACCCCACAGCTCCCGGAGGAGGCTCGGGAGCGGAGCCGCCCCTTCTGGATGGGCAGCCCCCCGGACTCGGTGCTTTCGGAGCTGAAGCGCAGTAAGGAGAAGGAGAAGGAGAAGAAGGAGAAGGAAGTCACGGCAGCCCCGGGGCCGGGGGCAGCCTCCTCCGAGGGGCCCGGCACTCCCGACAGCAGCCTGCCTGTGAAGTGGGGGCACCTTTTCGGGGCCAGGAAGGCGCAGAAGGAGTCCAAGCAGCCCAACAGGTATCCGAGTCCTAGAGCTGTGGGGTAGCAGGGACCTGTGGGGTCGCATCCAGTCCAAGCCCTGCCTGAGGCAGGTTCAGCCCCAGGCAATCCCACTGTCTGAGCTGTAAGCATCATGACACTGTCACCCCAACACAGCCTTAGGCATCACCCCCGACCTTGCCCCCGGGAAGGCAGGGGGGGCCTTGCAGGTCTGGAGCACTACTATAGCATGACCTCTGTCCCCCCCCCTCCACCTGACCCCTCCCAGAGATGTTCCTCCCATCCTCCTCCCCAGAGGTGACTGCAGCCCTGGGTGCAGCAGTCCCTGCCCACGTGGCCCATGGGCTTGGTCAGGGTGGAGATACTGACTCTGCCGTCCCTTGGCAGGCTGCCCTCCGGCTGGCTGAGCCTGGACCGGTCCGTGCTGCAGCGGGTGGTGCAGACGGTGGGGGCCAGCGTGTGGAGAGATGCAGCCCCCGACCCCGGGCAGGTCCCAACGCCCGACGTGGAGCCCAAGCAGCTTCCAGCCCGCGGCCTGTCTCCGGACCTCTCCTGGTGAGTGGCATGGGCACAGCATGGGGTCCTGGGGCTAGGCATGATGCCCCCAGCCCATCTATGCTCTGGGGTGGGCAGCTGCACCCTCAGGTGGGTTTCACAGCTGGGGAGCAGTCTCTCCCCATCCTGGGGTCTCCAGTGCAATGGGGCCACTGCTGCCGGATTCAGTGCTGCAGGGCTGGTAGATGAGCATGGGGAGCCGTGACCAGCCCTGGCATCTCGTGTCCCCACAGTGAGGTGAAAGCCCTGTGCCACCACATCGCCACCGAGGCTGGGCAGCTGAGCTTCAACAAGGGTGACCTGCTGCGGGTCCTTGCCAAGGTGGATGGGGACTGGCTGCGCTGCGGCTTGGGCACTGACACTGGCCTGGTGCCCATTATGTATGTCACCCACCCAGAAGACGAGGACTATTGATGCTGCGGGGGCACTGGGCACCACACCCCCGGCTCCTGCGGGGCTGGCGCAGGCCATGCTGCTGCTAGCCCCGTATGCCCCGCCCCATCCCTGCCTCCAAGGGTTCCTTCCCCTCCTGCCCCATGGGGCTTGGTGCCAGCCGGGCACGTGGCTGGGCCCCACCGTGCATGCAGCCCTCGGGACGGCCCGTGCCCCTCCACCCCATGCTGTCTCCAGCACCCCTGGACTGTGGACTCGGATGTAGCAGGAACCCCGGCAGCTTCATAGCGGGGTCCTGGCTGCCTTCAGTGGGGCTTTGCCCATCTCAGCCCCATGCCATGGTGTGGCATGGCCCTGCCCGGCACAGTTTGGGGCATTCTGCACCAAGGGTCTCCACGGACAGCCCCACGGCCTCCCCAGCTGCACAGCATCCGTGTGCTGCCACGTGAACGCAGCACCACGTGTGGGACCACACCAGTTGTCCACGCCACATGGCTGGGCACCATCGGGGGCAGGAGGGGAGGTTACAATGGGTGAAGGCAGGTGGGGACCAGTATCAGGGGATGTGGGGGATCTTGGTGGGGCCGTGACCAGCCCTGCATGGCTGTGGGGGTGGTTTTTGGTGCCGCAAGGAGGCAGGGGATGTGGTTGGCTGGGGAGAGGGAGGAGGCATGGGCAGCTGGGGCCTGGGGTGGGGGGGAGAAGGTGCTGATGGGG